TAGCAACCTGACTTTTTAGAAATACAACATAAACCAGTAAGTGAGTTTTAAAAACTCCTCACTTTCAAAAATAGATTTCACAAAGTACATGGCTCAAATTTACTGTACCTTTACCTATAAATGAAATAACCAAGCCTTCCCTAGGATTTTATCGCTTTTTACTTTAGCTGTTCTAACATCCTTGTAAATAAGTCAGTTTTTTCATTTTTTTAACTACAGATTCTTTACCTTACTCACTCAGGGACCCTACATAATTTCATCACATCTTACTTTTCAGGCGTCATGAACCTATATACTTGAAGGAAGTTATGCTGCTTCCTTTCATTTCTTTGTTCATGCTACTCCTTGTACCTGGAAACCTGTATCCCTCCCATCTATACCTATCCAGTCCTTCAGTGTCCACTTCCCATGCCGTTCCTTCCTGGGAGAGCTTCCTGATTCTCACAGCTCACAGTGATCTGTCCTGCCTCTGAGCACTTGTTTTTATGGCACTTACCACATTCTGCTTTGTCACCTGTTGTTTGGGGTTTTGTTTTTTGTAAAATTGTAGTAAGAACATTTAGCATGAGATTACCCTCATAATGAATTTTTTTTTTTTAATGAGGAAGATTGGCCCTGAGCTAATATCTGTTGCCAATCTTCCTCTTTTTTTTTTCCCCCTCTCCCCAAAGTCCCAGTACATAGCTGTGTATCCAAGTTGTAGGTCATTCTAGTTCCCCTATGTGGGATGCCGCCACAGTGTGGCTTGATGAGCAGAGCTAGGTCCACGCCCAGGATCCAAACTGGTGAGTCCCGGGCCTCTGAAGCAGAGTGCACGAATTTAACCACTAGGCCATGGGCCTGGCCCCTCATAACAAGTTTTTAAGTGTAAGATACAGTATTAATTATAGGTACCATTGTTGTACAGCAGATCTCTAGAACTTACTCATCTTACATAACTGAAACTTTATATCCATTGAATAGCAACTCCCCATTTCCTCTGCCTCCTAGCTCCTGGCAACCGCCACCCTACTCTCTGCTTCTATGCATCTGATTATTTTAGATACCTCATATAAGTAGAATCATGCATATTTCTCCTCTGTGACTGGCATATTTTACTTAGCATTAATGTCCTCATTTATGTTGTTGCATATGATAGGATTTCCATCTTTTTAAAGCTTGAATAATATTCCGTCATATGTATATATCATAATTTCTTTATCCATTTATTCACTGCTGGACATTTAGGTTTTTTTGACATTTTGGCTGTTGTGAACAGTGCTGCAATGACTGTGAGAGTGCAGATGTCTCTTTGAGCTCCTGATTTCAACTTTGGATTATTGGAAGTGGAATTGCTGGATCATATAGTAGTTCTATTTTTACTTATTTGACGAACCTCCATACTGTTTTCCATAGCAGCTACACCATTTTTTTATTCCCACCAACTGTGTCCAAGGGTCCTAATTTCTACACATGCTCACCAACACTTACATTTTGTTTTTTTGATAATGGCCATCCTGACAGATGTGAGGTGATATCTCATTGTGGTTTTGATTTGCATTGCTCTCATGATTAGAGATGTTGAGTACCTTTTCATATACTGTTTCCTTTTGTTTTCATTCTTTGGAGAAATGTCTATTCAAGTCCTTTGCTAGTTTTTAATTGGGTTATTTATTGTTTTGCAACTGAGCTGTAGGAGTTCTTTATATATTCTAGATATTAACCCCTTATCAGAAATATGGTTTGCAAAGAGGGTCTGGTCTTCATCTTTGTGTTCCCTGTGGTATCTTTGTATGCCTGCACTATGCTTAGCAATTGCTCTTTTCAGTAGTTGGCACTCAGGGTGTGTTTGTTAAATAAATGTAATGCAGTTATCTGGTTCCCAAGTCAGCATCAAATCTGAAAGGCCCAACAGGGATTCCTGTAGACACCCTGACAGCAGTGAGAAGTGATAGCTGACAGTGAGGAAGAAGAAGAAGACTATGAAAAAGCAAACTCAGGAATATAAAACTCTGATTGAAGCAGAGAAGGATTGATAGGGACTGATCATGATTAATTTTAAATGCTAGGCTAAGGAAACAAAGACAAAAAATTCTAAAATATAATGACATAATTATTAGAATTTTCCACAAATGTAAGTAGATTTCTTTGAGACTTATTGAGAAAAGTTTCATATACGTAAATTCTACAAGTTGTAATATGTGAGAATATTATATCCTCACTACAGTTACAACTTTGTACAATAATATCTTAATGACACACTTTAGCTATCAAAAGAAGATAAAAATTTTAAGTATATATTTTGTTTAAGGAAATAGGAGTAGTACATTTTTTAAAATATGACCATCCAAACTACATGCCTAAACATGTAATTACTGACCTAATCTGAATAATTCATTACCCAAGTGTTATGAACAGCTAATTTGCTATATTTAGCAGCATGATATTATAAATATACTAATCTAGATTTTGTTTAAAATTCCAAGGAAAGAGACAATGTAGTATCTAACCATAACACTAGGTGGTGGTAACTGATTTTAGAAATCAAAGTGTGAAAATGTTTCTCAATGTATGTATTCTTTGAATGTGAAAACATTTAATGCTGCTTACATTTCAAAAGGAAGAGGAGGGAAAAATTTGCAAGGCTGGTGAGCACCATTTCTACTTATTTGAGCTACCCATCTCTACTCTGTCTTTTTCCTTTGAATGCTCTAATCCAATGACTGAAATTTTTTAGGGTCATGCCCTTTATGTTCTTAAAGATTATTGAGGATCCCAAAGAGCTTTTACCTGTAGGGGTTATAAGCAAATAATGATCAATATTTTTCTTGTTAGAAATTAAGACTGAGAAATTTAAAAAGATGTATTAATTCATTTTAGAAAAAAATAATATACCCATTACTTGTTAGTATAAATCTTTTTTTTTTTTTAAAGATTTTATTTTTTCCTTTTTCTCCCCAAAGCCCCCTGGTACATTGTTGTATATTCTTCGTTGTGGGTCCTTCTAGTTGTGGCATGTGGGACGCTGCCTCAGTGTGGCTTGATGAGCAGTACCATGTCCGCGCCCAGGATTCGAACTGATGGAACACTGGGCCGCCTGTAGCGGAGTGCGTGAACTTAACCACTCGGCCATGGGGCTGGCCCCGTTAGTATAAATCTTTTAATGAAGAATAACTGTTTTCCAAAACAGGAGAAGAATTAAGAAGAGTGACATTGTTTTAAATTTTTGCAAATCCCTTTAATGTCTAGGTTATTAGTAGACAGCTGGATTCACATACTTGTTTATAAATTCAATCTGTTGGTATATGGCATATCATTTAGCCTCTGGAAAACTCCACTCTACACTCATGAGAGACTAAGAGTAAAAAAGACAATTAACGTCTTTTTATGAAAATCATTTTGGTCTCTAAAATGGTCTTGTGGACCCCTAAGAATCCTAAACTACAATTTGAGAACTATTGCTGCACCTCCTCTCTGCCTGTAAGAAGCTAGTGATAAAATACAAATTATATGTATATGTCCCTTCTATTAATTTTGAATTTATAAATCCAAAAGTTTAAACTATTAGCTCTTGGCTTACACCATCTGATTGTTGTACTTAAGGATACATAGTAAAATGTTTACAACAAAAATGACTGAGTTAATATTATTACATTAATTGATAAGGAAAACATAATATCCTCAAAGAAAAATGGACAACAGGACCATATGATAAAAAGGATGCAAAGTTATATGTTCATTGTGTTTACAGTGGACATCATTTTTAACCAGAAAAGAATGCTTTTTAAAAATATATATGGACCCAAATTATTATTCTAGTTCTATTTACTATACATTAGCTGAAAGTTATAGTCTGTGAGGAGACTTTATTATCATCGCAATTACTTCTCTGTTGTGAAATAATCTCTTGTCTTTTCGTTTTCTATGCCTTACCTTATCTTATCCTCACCACGATGTCAACTCTCAGTTCTATGCTGATGATTCCCAAAGCTCTGTATCCAGCCCTGACCTCTCGTCCTATGTTCCTGAGCCTTACTTCCAGTTGTGTATCCATCTCTGGCTAGAAGTCTCAAAATTCCAGTTGGTCTAAAACCAAACTCATGTTCTCTCTTCATAGCACTCCAAAACCTACTGCTTCTTAATCCTTTCTTTTAGTTAGTCACCATTTATCAGGTTCCCCAGGCTAGAAACGTTTAAGGAAGCTTTGACAAATTCTTCACACCATAAATACATTGATTTCTCATAGCTCTTTGCTGTTTCCTCTGCCTTACCCTCTTCTTCATCTGGAAATTCACACATATACTTCAAGATACAAATCAGATGTTACCCCTTCTCTATGTCTTCCCTAACACAGTAAGCAGATGCACTTATATCTCTGAAGATATATAGTGTGTGTGTGTATGTGTGTGTGTGAACAGAGAAAGAGCAAGCTTTTTTTCATCTAACTCCCTTGATAAACTCTTAGCCTTTGTAAGGCAGATACCGTGTTCTCTTTGTCTTTATTTCCCCAATCTTAAGCACACTGCCCATGTTTACTTAGTAGGAGACAGGAGTGGTATCATATGTCCGTGTTTTAAATATTGTGCAGGCAGGTTCACTGCTACCCAGTGATAAATTTTACAAATTGTGATTAGCATATACATTTGTTTTTGTTAATCACAGTCAATTCAAGTTAGCCGTTTTGCATGGATATTATTAAGTGTCTTTTTCTTTTATTTTTGCCAACAATTCCTTGGATTTCAGGGGGAAAATGCTTTTATTTAAAAAAAGTTAACATTGAATATAAAGTTTTATAAATGCATTTAGTGTACATCTGAATTGTCATTACTCACCACAAACCTGATCTAATGGTATTTTATAATGAGTAGTGATGACTTGATAGGAACTCTTAACACTGCTAGGTTTTCAAGTATAGTTTTAGGTAAAAGTAAAGGTTTTGGTGTAGAGTATATATTTACATATAATTACTTTTCAGATTTTATATCCCAGTGCAATGATAACTTTTCTCCTCCCCCCCCCAGAACTTCTTGGTATACATGAACAAGCAGCTGTAGGATTCTTAACATTGATGGAAGCTTTAAGATACTGTAAGGTAAGTTGATTTTTAAGGCACTTTGAGTGTTTTTTATTCACATATCCATTGTTGTGGATAGTAGTTTTCTCCTGTGACAATATTTTAGACTACTACTGTTACTATATACTCTCTTCACTTCCTTTCTGATCTGCCTTCCTAAAATGACAGCCTTATTAAGGGTTTCATTAAGCTGGCCAATCCAGCTGAGTTTCCTATTTTTGAGGTTTGTTCCTTTTGAGGGTGGGGGGAAGAACCCAGTACAAAATCATTTATAAAAATAGAGACATCTGTTATTGAATATAAATATACTTTTTGGTAAACTGAGGGAAAATAATGTACTGTTTCTTCCTCACCATCCGTATGCTTCACTGAAGTAACCAGTAATACTTCATCAGGCAAAGAAAAAAAATTTGCCAAATGCCTGAAATTCTAACTTTTGTCTATTCCATCTGAAAAATGATTTCACACTAAAAAATAAATTTCAAGCGTTTCACAACATTAAACTCTTTAACACATGTGCTAGGGTTAGGCACTGCCATGAAACTCTAATTTATTGCAATATATTTCATTGCTTTCCTACACAATCTGAAATAACTATTGGATATTCCAAATAGTTTTAAATCATTAATGATGTACACTTAATAAGATGTCCTGATTTTGGAGAAAGCAAGAAGTAGATCTAATTTTCTTTTCCTTTTTAAAATGGTGGTTCCGTAGCAGTGGTTCTGGTGGTGGTGATTATTTTTAGTAACAATAGTAGTTACTGGTAGTGTCTTGCCCTCTTGACAGCACATGGACAGGGGTGATATGGGTATGATAATCAGCTAGGTTTCACCCTGCTCTTATTCATTACTAGTGATCATATCGTTAAATAGTAGCAACTCTTATTTTCAGTGACTTCAGTGACACAATCTAAACCTGTTCTGAGGCAGCCTGGCAACCAGAGAATCAAGCTGCATCCCCTCCTCCCCAACACACACACCAACATTCATGTATCCTAAAAATGTGTGTGTGCACAAAACAATGGTAGCTATATACAGATGATGGATATGTTAGTTAGCTTGATTGTGGCACTCTTTTCACAGGTGTATACATCTATCAAAAACGTCAAATTGTACACATTACATATATACAATTTATATGTCAAAGATATTTCAGTAGAACTGGTAAAAAAAAAATAAAAGTATGCGTGTTTTGCAGGAGGATAGGGTGTGGAGATTATATATTTTGAAATCTTCACCATGTGGCGTGTAAGGCCCTGGTGATCTGGATCATGCCTGTCCTTCCAATTGCATTGCTCCCTCCATCACTGCGCTCCAGCCAGTTTCTCAGGTGTCCTGTCAGTTTCTCAAACATGCCATGCCCTTTGCTGTGTGATAGGCCTTAGTGCTTGCTAACATTTCTGCCTGGAATACTCCAGCTCTTAAATGGATGGCTCACTCTCCCCTTCAGGTTCTACTTCAAATGGTGCCTCAAAGACCCTTTCCTTGATCATTCCCTCAGTGACTCTTTTTCACATTATTTCATAGGAATAATCACTCTATAATGATCCTTTTTGTTTATTTATCTTTTTTTAATCTTGAATTTGTTTTCCTGTTGTCATCCCTAATGGAATATGGGCTCTTTGAAGGCAGGAACATTTGTCATCTGGGTACAGATTAGGTGCTCAATAAATATTTGTTGATTGAATGAACGGACAATTTCACTAGAATTGTAAACTTTTCTAAATGTGTGCTTTTGCTTTTCTTCAACTGTTAGGTAGAACAGAGGAATGTCTGTTTTCCCCCAGGATCTTAGTGGGAAGGCAGTGGCTGCTGTATATTCTCCTTTTGCATATTGTTTTAGTGTTCTAAGTAACTGTGGTGTTTTGTAAGATTTAAAGATTCTTTTAGTGGTGGGATCAACACACTGCTACTCGGATAGATGAGAGGCAGAACTGTTTGTTTCTTATAGCTCCAAACGAGGGAGGGCTACCAGACAGGGCCAGAGGGGGTTATACCTGGGCACAGGGCAACAGCAAGCTGCAAGCTGTGGGGGGCGGCTTGTGTATGGGAATTGGGATGGAGTCAGCTAGGTTTCCTGGGTTCCCTGTGGCTGGGCTAATTTGAATAGTTTCTGTGAGCTCTGGGGCTTGGGGTCCCTCCCTAGTTGTCTGTTACCTGGCTCAAAGGCAATTAAGGTGATGATAGTAACCTGGAGTGTGGGAGGCCTGTAAGGGAACTGGTTAGGGTGTGGACTTAACTGTATTTTTTAAGGGAACTGACTGGCCTCTAGCCAGGGCCCCAAAACTGAGTCAAGACAGCATTTTCTTTAAAAAACACTACATTACACTGTGCTGTTCATCTGTATATAACTGTAGATAGCCTTCTGCAAATCTACATACATTTACTTTCTGCCAGATGTTTAGAGAAATGGCATTAAGGAAATGATTGTGTTTGTATTAGTTTTGTAAAACTGAACATTTCCCTCTTCTTTGTGTAGCAAATTGCCCTTTAGAAATGAAATTAACATTTTCATATCATTTTGACTGTATGTATTCATTAATACAAATAAAATGATATTTCTCTCTCTCTCTCTCTATATATATACACACTTATACACATGCAAGCAAAGAAGAAAGTAACTCCAAGTGCTTTTGACTGTGCCTCTTTTTAAATAGATAATCTAACTCACCCACCATAGAATCTGCCATTTTGAAGTGCACAGTTCAGTGGTTTTCCTTATATTCATAGGGCTGTGCAACCATCACCTCTATCTAATTTCAGAATGTTTTCTTCTCCCCAAAAAGATCCTCTAAACTCATTAGCAGTCACTTTCCCCTTCCTCCTCAGCCCCTGGCAACTTTCTGTCTCTCTGGTTTTGCCTATTCTGGACATTGCATATAAATGGAATTATACAATATGTGGCCTTTGTGTCTGGCTTCTTTTTAATGTTCATCCATGTTTTACCATGTGTTAGTACTTCCTTCCCTCTTATGACCAAATAATACTCTGCTGTATGATGTATCAGTTTTGTTTATCTGTCCATCAAATGATGAATGTTTGGGTTGTTTCTGCTTTTTGGCTATTATGAATAGTATCGCTGTGAACATTTGTGTAGAAGTGTTTTGTGAACACATTTTCATTTCTCTTGGGTGTATACCCAGGATTGAAATTGCTTGGTCATATGGTCATTCTGTGCTTAACTTTTTGAGGAACTGTCAAGCTGTTTTCCAAAGTGGTTGTACTATTTGTGCAGCTTTATTTATTTTTGTTATTATATAAAACAGTTCATGAGTTCAGCATTCATTTATCCTTTCATCCTACTTTATATAATTTTATCATTGTCTTTTACTTCAATCCTAATTTAAATACACACACCCACATGCTTTTTCTGAAAGAGAAATTAAACATCTAAACCTTCCCCACAAGAGGCAGTGTGACATAATGGAAAGCTACCAGATTGGAAGCCGGCAAACCTGAGTTTTAACTCTAGTGCTATCCTACTTAGCTGTTTGAATTCAGACCTGGCACTGATCCCTGGTGTTTCTCAGTTTCCTTATGTAATATTGAGGGACTTGCACTGCACCCCTCTCAGATCCCTTCTACTCTGAGCCTGTGATGGGAGCTTTTCTTTTTTCTTTGGCTTTTATTCTCTCTTTTCTCCCCAAACCATCCTTCCTACCCTGCTGGTTCACCATTGCCGTCAGCGTACCCAACGCATCCCTCCCATCATAGGACAAAGATAGCAGTTTTTCTATGCGTGAAGACAAAAGAGTTCCTACATTCCACTTCCCGCCTAGGGATAATCACAGATTCCAAAAGGCCATGGTGGTGGTTGAAGGTGGGGCATCATATCAGGACTGCTGGCTGGTTAGGGAAGAATTGGCTCTGACCGCTGCAGGTAGCCACTTGGAATTTCTCCGTAATAGGCAGTCTGTGTGAGACAAGAAAATTCAGTGAATTTGATTGGTAAAGTTGGTTATTTTTAAGTTAAAGCTTTTGTCCTCATAAGGGTATGGAATTGATTGATGTGAACATGATTGGATTTCATAAGTCTATTTTTTATTTGTTGAAGCTTTCATTTTCTCAGTTATACACACAGAATGAGACACTCAGATTTTTGGTACTGTAGTTTTTATGGATTAAATATATAACCTTAAAGGCAGCTATAATTAGGACTTTTTATACATTTTAAAGAGACTTCATATTGTAAAACCTGGAACTTACCTTCCACCATGAAGAGTCGAGTGACAAGATTCTTTTATATTTTTAAACGTTTTAGGTTGTATCATTTTCTTGAGAGAGATTATTATATTGCCCTAGATTCTTTGAAGACAAGGATGTTCTTAAGGTTTTTTCCCTTATTTATTCCTCAGTCTACTCATTTGTTAATTTATAATTATTCTCCTTATAAAGTAATTATCATCAAGCTTGTAGTTTTAGGGTTTGAGGTAACAAGCTGAAATTCTAGAAGTGGTCATTCTATCTAGGAATGTTAGCAAAAAAATTAAGAATGATTCTTAGGGCTAAACTAATTATTTTTAGCTGTGTTAAATCTGTCTTGTTGTTGTTCTCATGTAAAGGTGTTATATAAGCTGAGCCCTGACAGTCTTTATAACATTCGTTTTTCCATTCAGCGTTTATGGGTAAGGCATTCTGATGCAATACATTATTCCATTTAAATATGAATTAGACACTTTAGTTATGCTTCTGATATTCATGGGCAAATATATAACAGGCAGTATAAAATTGTCATTTGTTTATTTATTTTGCTACATTTGTTCTAGGTTGGTTCTTACTTGAAATCTCCAAAATTCCCTATTTGGATTGTTGGCAGTGAAACTCACCTCACCGTATTTTTTGCCAAGGTATGCTTACAGCAGGATGTTTTTATGACGTCAGGCAAACAAGTAATATGCGTCTATATTTAGTTTGGGTCTTTGTGCAGACTTTGGTGTATTCCCACTAACAATTGGATTGTTCCAAAATCTAAAAAATTAATACTAAATAACATGTTGTTATACTGTTCTAGTTTTAGAATCATTTCAATAAAATCTGTCGTGATTTGGTTATAATTTCTTTATCTTTTCTGACTTTGGAGCTTTGGCTTTTGATTTTTTTCAGAAATTACTTGTTTTATGGTGAAAATAATTGAATTTAAAAGCTTTGGATTGCACTTTTGTAGAGAGGATAAAAATCCAATTTACATGCTATAAAATAATTTTAGTTACATCACCTAGGAAAATATTTTAAAATCTGTTAATAGTTCAGTGGTCTAGAAGTCAGGTACTCTTTTAAGATGGAATATTTCCTACAGTTTTTGCGTGGTTACAATATTGAAATAGATGAAATGCATTTAAATATGTTATTTTAAAATTCTTACAACTAACTGTTTCTAAATCCCAGTCTTTAACTATAGTATTTCTTTTTCCACAGTTGATTGGTTAAGATTTAGCTTTGAAGTCAGACAGCCTTCATTTGAATCCCAGTCTTGCCACTTCTAGCATCATTCAACCTCTTTTCCTATGTCTTTAAAATAGGAATTAATAGTAGTACCTAGCTCTTAAAATTGTGGTCAAGCTTAGATATAAAACATTTAGCAGTACCTAGTACAGGTTAAATGCCCAGTAAATCTTAGCCGTTGTCGTCATCATTGTTTTCATTATTCTACAAACATTTATTCAACATCTCTGGTATGCTTAGAGAGAGTTACTAGATGTTGGACTGAAGGGGGAAAATATATAATTGTGTTTGTGAGGTTTCTTAATTCTAATGTACTTTCTTGATTACTCCATGAGCTTTTTTAGCTTGTACCTGTTAATGTATATTTGTGTGTGTATGAAGTACGAATTATATAAATTGTACCAAAGACTGAACTGACAATGCTAAGTTTTGTGGATCTATTTCATTATTTGTTACTGTATTTACTTTTATTGTGCTGGTAAAAGTCCAGCTAGTGGATTTAGAGCAAGATACTTTTTCTTAAAGAGGAAAGGCTATAAAGTGCAACTCTAAAAGTACAGACAGACCTTACTGATGTTACATTTAGCCTGAAAGCTTCTGCTGTTTATTTCCCTCCTAAAGTAGAGGGGAAGAAGTTAAAAGCATAATGTGAACTACAGAAACTGAATAACTTCTCATTCCTGAGTGAAGATTTCATCATTTGACTAATTTTTGTTTCAAGTGATATAAATGTCCAGAAAAGACAATTTGTTCCAATTTACATACAAAAATGTATTTTCAAGCCAATTATTAATTATTTTTGTTTCAACCCTATTCTTTAGCATTAGGAAAACTAATAAATTCTATGAAACTGTGTAAGTTTTACTATAAAAGAAAAGATGAAAATATTTTAAATCGTAAATTTTATGATTGATATTTAAGAACTGATTTTGTTCAAACAGCAGAAGAGATTTCACAGAAGGTTGATCAAGGAGCAGTGTCAATTGAGCTGTGTAAATTTGCACACATTTTGTATTCAAGCATCTAAATGTTAGGTATGTTGATAGAGTCGTGGGAGTGAATTATACCCGCCTTTCTCTGAAACACAATTATCCCTGGTGTCCCCAGAGGGTTGGTTCCAGGACCCTGCAGATCCCAAAATCCATGGATGTTCAGGTCACTTTTCTAAAACAGCATTGTATTTGCATATAACCCATGTACACCTTCCTGTATACTTTAAATTACCGCTGGATGACTTATAATGCCTAATACAATGTAAATGTTATGTAAATAATTGTTATACTGTCTGGTTTAGAGAATAATGACAAAGAAAAAAAGTCTGTACATGTTCAGTATAGACACGGCCATCGTAGGCCTTTCGATCTGTGATTGGTTGAATCCACAGATGCAGAACCCGCAGATATGGAGGACCACTGTATACACTTCTTACCTACCTGTCCTGGTAGTCTTTGTTGTTCTTATAGTGCTTGGCCCATTGTGCTGCTGCATTTGTCACACAATGCATAGTTCCTACGTCCCACACTGTTTGTTGGGGCAAGTGAGCCTTGTTCAGGACAGGGACTCCTCTCATTCATCTTCTTATCCATAGATCTCAGCCACACGCAACGAAATGTTGAGTTAGCGACATGAAGTGTGTAGAGAGAAACACACAGACCGCTCCCACACCAGCTATAGGCCTGACCAAACAAACTCAATGTATGCCATGTAAGTTAGACCAGGTTTTTAAGTCTGTCTTCATTTATTTGTATCCCTGATGCTACTAATAGTCATGATAGGAAAATATACACACACGTGAAGTGATTATACAGAATTTTATAGTAAGATTTTAGGTTCTTCAACTATGATAAATCTCATATGTCCATACCTTATGTCTCTTTTGGAACTCTTGAATTTTATACTAATTGTTATTGTTTGATACCCACCTCTGAATTCTCCGGATCTGGTATACAATCCAGCATGTAGTGTAGGGGATTCATCAGTTTAATTAAGCCTTTGCATGAATTTTCCACACTTGGGTTCCAGTGACATTTATAACTTCTAAAAATACTTCTTCATGACTCACTCTGAAGCCTCTTAAAAGCATGGGTACTTCCTTTTCAGTCTATTTTAGAAGAATTGAATTTGGATTGGTTGAACATGTTATCTTTAAAGGGAGTTGCAAGTAAGAATTTTCCCCTTTGAAGTAAAATAATATAAAGCCAGAAGATCATGTAAATGGTAAATGAGGTCAGTAATACTGGATAACATTTATTACGTCTGGTTTAAAATTTGTTTTAATAAACTAGCATTTTTGTAGTCTTCGACATTTAGAAAATACGGCAGATTTTGCTGTTCATTACATTATAGCAGGATCTATTATTTGCTCACTCTTTCTTTGATATTTCTAAAATTGACCAAGTGATTTTGGCTGTGAATTTGGTTTTGTTATTTTTTATTTTTGAGTTTTGGTCTGTTTGTTTTTGGTGGATTTGTTCGCTTTATGTTCTATGGCACGAAACAAACAAGCGTTGGGTTTTTTTTCACCAGCAACTTAATGTAAATGCTGATGTCTTTTTCTATAAAACTGGTATATTTGTTCGCCTAGATATGTATTTCATGTGCTGAGTTCTTTATACTGATTATGATTAAGTAAAAAAGCTTGTTTTAAGGTCACAATTTTCAAGGCAATCTGTAAATTCCCATTGTAAAATGCCTTGGAAAAGTAATAGAATTCTTCATGTGACTTATACACTGGAGGTGATAATAGTTGCCACTGTCTTCATTCATATAGAAACTCATTTGTCACGTATTTACTGGGCATATAGCATGTCTCTGGCATTATGCCAGGTGCTGTGAATACAGTTGTTAGCAAAAGTAGACATAGCTCCTGTTCTTATGGAAGTGTGTGTTCTAATGGGGGGAGGGGGGCAGCATTAATCAAAGAATCACACTTATAAAATTACAACTGTGATGAATGCTGACAAAGCACAGGTCTATAAAGCTATACAAATTTCTCCTGGTTTTGGAAGATAAGGAGTATTTCCTTGAAGAATTGATGTCTAAAATGAGCACTGAGTCATCAGTAAGATTAAACTAGGAGAAGAGAGAGAAAAGAGCATTCCTTACATAGGAAATAGAGCAAACAAATGGCTGGGGGAGAGAGGGCTATGGTGTGAACAAGCTGAAAGAGGATGGCTGGAACACAGAAGTTGGGGGTGGGGAGCAAGGTGTCAAATGAGGCTGTGGAAGTAGGCAGGCCACGCGACGCTATGCTAAGAGTAATGACAACCACTAGACTTTCTAAAAATCAGTGGTGGTGGTAGTTTTAGGGAGATAGGAAGGAAGGGGAAAGGATTAAATTTGCATTTTGAAAAAATCATTCTGGCTAATTGTGGAAGACGGACATATGTAGAGAGTGGGTGAACAAGACTTTTGTAGTATTTCAGGTAAGCAAAGAATGTAGTTTGGTCCAGGGTTACAAAGGTAGAGTTGGATAGAGCTACATAAGGTAGAGATGGATAGAAGTGGGTAAATTTGAAAGACTTATTCCTGAGTTAAACTGACAGGACTTGGTGATAGATGCCCTTGCTGTTGCCCTTCACAGTGCTGTATATCTTCTCAATCCAGCAACTAAAACGACCCCGTTAAAATGGAAGTCACTTCATGTCACACTCCTGCTCAAAATCCTGCATTGACTCCACTTTCACTAAGAGTAAAAGCCAAACTCCTTAGAACAACCTCCTGGGCCCTACCTCCCCGCATCCGACTCCGTGTTTGTTGCCTCTCTAATCTCATTTCCTGCCACTCCCCCTCCTGTCTTTCTTGGCCACACTCGCCTGTCCTCTCCCTCAGAAATGAGGCAGGCCCTTTGCACGTGCTATTCCCTTTGCTTAAAATGCTCTTGCCCCAGATGTCTGTATAAAGGATTCCTGCTTTCTTCAGGTCACTATTCAAACATCACCTCCTTAGTGAGGCCTTGCCTGGCCACCTTTTCTAAAATTCCAACCCCTTTCTCTTCCCTCTTTTCATTAATATTCTCTCTTTCTCTCCAAATAGATATGTATATATATGTTTTTAATTGAGGTAAAATTCACATAAGAAAGTTAACCACGGCAGGTGAACAATTTAGTGGCACTTAGTGCATTCACAGTTTTGTGTAGCCACCACCTGTATCTAGTTCCTGAACATTTTCTTCTTCCCAGAGTAAAACCCCATATTTATTAAGCAGTTATTCCCCATTCCTCCTCTCCATAGCCCCACCAACCACCAATCTGCTTTCAGTCTCTATGGATGTACATACACAGGTTATTTCATATAAGTGGACTGATACCATATGTGACTGGATTGTTTCTGGATTCTTTCATTGAGCATAATGTTTTTGAGATTTGTCTTCATTGTAGCATGTATCAGTACTTCATTCCCTTTT